TTTCCCAGTTCTATGCTGGGTTACTATCTGGGAGTCCCTTTGGCCACCCTGGCCAACAACTCAAAAGAACGTATCTCCTATCTGGCATTGTTGCTTGTTATGTAGCCTTCAGCTATACATATGGACTCTTAAAAAATTATATTGGCCCCTTTAATCCACCTTATTTTTGAGACAGGGTCTCTCACTGAACCTAGAGCTAATTGATTTATCAGGGGCAGGGAAGACTGGCGTCGCTTTATTCTGAGGCCATGTATTCAATGGTTTAAAATGCTGTCCATAGTATCCATTTTTACATTACCAGATGAAATTTTTACCTTACTTGATATATTTCTATTCATAAAATTTTAAAATACGTTGATCCATCAGGAAGTGAAGCCTAGATGTGTTGTCTTAATGAAAAACAAACAAAAAAACCAAAAAATAAGTTTACTTTCCCCAAGTATGACAGGTTAATGGCATCAAGAAATATTCTCTCTTTGTACCTTTTACTTCATTGACCAATCATAAATCCTAAATGTGACTTTGGAAGCCTGCTGTAAGTTCCAGAAACTTTGGTAAATCGGTTTTAAATGTTAGCCTCTTTGCAGACTTAGGAATGAGGAATGAGAAGAGCGATGCTTGCCACTATACTAAAAACTTGGCACAAAATAAAACAATCTTTTTTTCTATTTTTCCTCTCACTTCTCTTTCCATGTGCTCACCTACAGAAAAAAAAATGTGTGAGCGATTATCCCCAAATGTTTCCAACAGCCTCAAGGCAGGTAAAGGACAGGGCAACGTACTTACAAAGAAGACCATCAGAAACATCCGTGTCAGTTTAAAGAATATTGTTAATATTATACTCTGGGGTAACTCCTATGTAAAAGAAATCTGAGGGATACAAAAGAAACACGAATGCCAGGCCCCTCTCTGACTCTGTGTGAGACCACATTGCCAGCTTTACCTTCCTGGCCTCTCGCCCTGCACCCACTTCTGTCTGCTAGAGTCTCGAGGCAGTCCTTGGTTCGTCTTCTCTAGCTGTTGAATGGAGACCGCAGAAAGATATGTTCACATTCTAATTTCAAGAATTTAATCAAAGTAAGTAATTCAAGATGAAGACCTTGGATTGCTCAGATGAGCAGTAAATCTAGTGACAAATTGTCCTCAGTAGAGACTGGAGATTCCCCAACCCAAGAGAAGGAGGCAGTGTGGCCACAGAGCTTCAGTGTAGAGTGATGTGATTATAACATCACAAATCAAGGATCATGTAAAGTCCTCAGAAGTCAAAGGAAACAAGGAGTGGGCTCCCCCAAAATGTACAGGAGCACAGCCCTATGACACCTTGATTTGAAGTTTCTGTCTTCTAGAACACTCATATGCTCACCTAGTTCCCTCAAATAGATTATTTAAATCTCTAATCCTGACCTTCCAGAGTACCAGGCTAGTACTCATCCAACTGCCCACCTGACCGCTCTAGTTGGCTATCTACCAGACACCTCATTCTTGATCTCTGGCTCCCACACTTGCAAATTCCATCCAAATCTTTTTCATGAATAAGTAGTACTCCCATTTGCTGCTCTATGAGAAAACCTGAGCATAAGCTCACAAGGCTCTGCACAATTTCTAGATGAATCCTCTTGAGTACCACATTTGCACAGCAGGATTCTGATATCCTCCCTCCACAGAAGCTAAGTCTGTATAAACTTCATGCCTAAGATGTTCCAATAGCTTCTCAACCCTTAGAGTCAATCTCATGTTGCTCATGTTTGACTACAGCAATGATTACCAGCTGGGGCCTGTCTCCCCACCACAAAGAAATAAGAATTCAAATATTATCTCATCAGATAGACATTCCACAGCCACCTTCACCACAGTGGCCTCTGCCTTCCTCCTCCTGGTTGCTCTGTCACTTTCCACATGGCTCTTCTCGGAACTTTGTCTTGTGTTTCATGGTTTGTTGCTAGCTTCTCCGTCAAATTGTCTGCATCTGGACCGAAACCAGGCACAGAGCGTGCAATAAATACTTAGCTGCCAAATCCCTGATACACAAATATAAAGCACCAGAGGATAATCAAACATGCCTCAAATGGTTGATGTCAAAAATGATGCCGTATATCACCAGCAAATCAGCTTTGGCGTAGTCCGTGCCAGTTTTTGGCATCTGGCTTGTTGAGTACGACTCTGTTAGAGTGTGGCTCTGCTGACGGCTCATTGTACTTGCAATGAGAAAGATGTGCTTTTACCAGAAACTATTATCTGGTAGGCCAGTCTCTTAGGCAGCATTTAGCTGACATTGTTGATTACACAGCTGTAGCTTCCAACAGCCACACAAAAGGAACAGGTGAATTCCTGAGTGTGGTCAATATAGTGGGGAGCTGGTTTTAAAAGAAAAGTCAAGGATTTATCCCCAAGAGAATATATTGTTAGGAGGTAGAGAAGAAAGAGAAAAATCAACAAAAATAGAGAAAAATAATGAGAAACGCAGTAAGAAGACAAGATGAAGCAAAGTTTGAAGCCCCAGTTCACAGCCAGCCAACTTGTCAAGGAAGTGTTGTCAATGGACCCTTGATACATTTTACTCTTATATTAAAGGCAGCTGGATTCTTCTCATTTACCAGCGAAAAGCTACAGAAATTTCTGGCAAAGCAAAATATTAATTTAGGTATAAATTTAATAAATAAGCCAATAAACAAACACATTTAGAGACAGAATAGTATTTCAAAATTTTTTGCTTCTTACTTGCTGAGAAATTTTCACAATTCTAAAAAGTTTCAGAACAATCCTCAGATCCCTAGTTTTTCTGTATCACTTTGACTTATTAGGAAAACTTTGACCATTTCTCCTGTTCCAAAGTGTTGGGAATAGAAGTGATTTTTGTTCCTATCTTGTGTTGAGAGGTTGAGAAATCTGCGTGGGAGAATGACACAATGAAGCAGCAGCAAAGAACTGGCCATGTGCCCAGCTGCCCAGCTGTTCCCGCACTGTGCCCATGTTTGGGTGTCTTGATCACAACTACATCATGTTGGCAGTACAGAACAGTGACACGCATGCTTCTCGCTACCTATTGCCATGGTCCCAATTGAGACATGAAGCACTTTGTAGTGTCCAGAATGTGAGGGCAAGTAAGCTGAGAACTGAGTTAAATTATGGGGAGAGCCATTGTGTGAGAACTACAGTGTACCCATGTTTGTGAGCTTGACTGTGGGGGTGTGTTTTGTCCTGTAACATGCGGAGATAAGGCAGGAAGAAATAAGTTTTGAAAGGAGCTCACAAAGGAAGTTAAACATATCCAGGACAGAACTCAGTTATTGCAGTTGATCCTAGGAGACCCTTCTGTAACTGCTTCAGTAACAGATAGTACCAAAGTCAGGCAGCCTGGACAGGTATGCTGGGCAAATATCTGTCCTCTGAAATCATCATAGTCTATATACAGACCAGTGAGTTCAGTCTTATTTAAAGGTCTACAGGGTCTGGAGAGATCGCTCAGCAGTTAAGACCTGGTTTTGGGTTCCATTACTTACATGGTGGGTAACAACTGTCCATAACTCCAGTTCCAGGGGATCTGATGCTCTCTTCTTGATCTCTGTGGGCATTGCATGCACGCCTATGGACTGACATATATGCAGGCAAAACACTAGACATATAAAAAATAATAAATAAATGCATAAATAAAGGTTTATATTCCTAGTACCCTGGAGACTGAAGCAAGAAGATCATGAGTTTGAGACCAGTTTGTGCTACATAATGAAGCCCTGTCCAAACAAACAAAAAGAATGAAAAACAGAAAAAAAGGAATGTGAAGTAAATGAAGGGACTCTTCATATTTGGCCACTAGACTACGTAGTCATTGTGCCTAACGCTGTGCTGTTGGCGATTTCAATGCTTAGTAAACTCTAACAGTAAGGAGTACGTGTACACTGAATTCTTAGCATTTAGACCTGTCCCAACTGTTTGTGTTTCCATCTTTAATCATTTGAACACATCAGCTCTTATTTTCTTGTTCCGTCTATTGACCAAATACACTAGGAAATGAGGATCACTGACTTCTTTTCTTTCATACTCAATTTTATTGATTGAGGACTAATACACAGACACTTCAGTTCATACACAGCTCTTAACACACTACCAAACATCTAAAGAACCATGTGTTGTGTTCCTCCTCAAAAGTCATTCCAGGGATGTTCCAAGCTCGAACTTGATGGCACATTTCCCTTCCGGGGACTCATGAACAGTATCATCAAACACTGACAGCCCTTACTTCCACTGAAATTTGCATCACATATGGTACACACTCAAATTTTCATCTTTCATAGCACATTATGAAAACTGGACCACCATGACCAGAGATGTTACAGAGACAGAGGGCATACAAGTTCTGACAGGGTGATGACCAAGGAATGTTTTTTTTTCTTTCAGAAAACGGTTCTACTAAAAACACAGGACTAGAAGTCATCTAAACTATTCAAGACTCTTTAAATGCATGACTGAGACTTCAAATTGCCATTTAGTATGCTGTCCCACTAAATTTTCTCCTTCCTGCTCTGTTTGACCCACCCTCACTTCAGGGTCTCTTGTCCCTGACGCCACCGACCTGTGGCAGGGGTGGGGGACGACCCACACCCAGCACCGGGCTCTGCACCACTCACCGCCCCCCACTTCCAGATCGCTTCCGAGCCACCCACAGTCTCTGTTAGCTTTCGCCCATGCGCCCATGCACCGTGAGCCCACAGTCTCGCCTCAGGTAGGTAAATGGCCCTTCTAGCATCCGCTCCAGTGAGACACCAGGCCATCTTTTCAGGCACATGCTGCTTCTGTCCAAGATGGTGTCAAAAGCCCCTCCCTCAGCTCCTAACTCTCCACAGTCAATTCTCTGCAGCAGCCCCGCCCCTGGAGGAACAAGGCCCTTTGGGAACACATGCTGTCACAAGATATAAAACTAACCCCTCTATGGACTGTTACACTGATACCCTAGACAGCCACAGCCTCCCAGGATTCAATATCCCACTATTTTCTGGTTGTACCAAAAAAATAATCAACCAGCAAATGATTTCGCTTCTTAAAAAAAAAAAAAAAAAAATCATTTACACCTAAAAAAAAGGGATGAGGTGGGATTTTCCCCTTTCAAAAATGTTTCTAGAGCTACTAAAAAAAAAACTTGTATTTACAAAATAGCTGATAAAAATATTCCTCTGGGTTGTATAAGAAGGGCTGCAAGTTAGACCAATGGACACTGTGTGCATCAGTAGGACTTGGTCCTCTTCATCAGAGGCAGGGCTCTCGGTTCCCGTCTCTCCACCTTCTGTGGGCAGGTCTTTAGTCTCCTGCTTGGCTGCTTCGGCCTGCTCTCCCTGTTTGCCCTTTTCCTTTTGTCTGCCCTTTTTGACTGAACATTTATCCTTTCCGGTGGCCTTCTTCGGCTTGGATTTCCCTTCGGCAGAGGCAGGTTTGGCCGCCTTGCTGATCTGCGCTTGGGCTCCTCATGGCTGCCTTCAAGCTGACCTTCCTCTTGGGCATGGTGGCATGGAGGGTTGTCTGCAAAGCGAACCGAGCTGACAAAGCTTCACAGTATAGCCAAGCCTCAAACTTAAACTCCAAATTCTCCTGTCTCAGCCTCCCGAGTGCTAGGATTATAGGCCTGTACCACCGTACCCAGCCTCAACCAACTTTTTTATCAGTTAAAACTTTTATTGCAGGGATACACTCCTCAGATCCTCTGACCCAACAACTTGTACTAAATTTTTTGCACAGAGGTCTGGGAAATCTCTCTCTCTCATCCTTGGCAACCTTCTCTATACAAACTCAAATAGCAAGGAGGCCAGAACTTCTCTGAACACATTCTGCCCTTGAGATATGAATGCTTCTGTCCCAACACTGGCCAGGTAGGGCCTGCTCTCTCTGAGAAGGTTAGAACCTATAAGGATGTGCAGACGAGGCCAGTCCATTTACCAGGCCCCTGAGGACACCTAGCCTAATGCTAGCAGATGCTGCCAGTGCTTAGGGAAAACTTAAAGAACAGAAAAGGGTGGGATAAAAAAATGGATAAGGAAAAATATTAGCTGAAGAAACCTGTAGGTTTTATGCATTAGGGTTCCAAATGTGATCACTTATGACTTCTGTCCTCATTTATCCTCACTCTCTGCCTGCCTTCTCCTCCTTCTGCTCCTCTGTTTCTTCCTCCTTTACCGTTATCGACTTGATTTTTCCCCACTAATCTTACGTAGTTTCTAAGGAAAAAGCTCTGTGATAAAGCCATACATGTGTTTGACCACAAATCGGAACTATCTGTTAGATACCACATGCTGACTGGTTCATCCCATGTTGTATAGACTGCAAAAACACAAGTTGAATAAATTGATGAGTTTCCTTCCATACTTGAATCCAGATGAGGAGTAGGTCCTTTCATACAATGCTCTGAACTATTTGCTAATAAAATGGTAGTGTTTAAGGAATTTATTTTCACAATTGGTACACCTTAACCAGTTGCGACAGTAGTAATGGTAATAATAAACCTTTACTGAGTATACTTCACTACATTAAGTAGTTTTCAGAGGTTAACTCAATGAATTATAGCACTCATTAACACGGGTGGATACTATTCCCCTTTAATGTTTCAGAAAACAGGCTTAGGTGGTCACAGCTACTGAGTTGAGTTTCACAGCAGAGCCACTTTAACGTCCCTGGTAGGCTTGTTTGCCTTTCTTCTCTGCCCTCCCCTTTCTACCTTTAGGACAGTCAATCCAGAGAGGAGTGGTGTTTTAAATACCTGCGTTCACTGAGCTTCCTGAAACCCTCACAACTGTCCTGGAGTCCCTGAGTTTGGGATTTCCAAATAAGCACTGTCCCTTTGTTGTGGGATGTGCCTAAGGGCCTTGATTCTGAGCTTCCTGACACAGCCTTCCCAGTTGGGAGGTTACAAGCAGAGCCTAATCCTGGCTGGGATTTTTATCCTTGGTCTGAGGGTTTGACTCCTTTCGTCAACCCATCTATGGCTATTTGCAGAAAACCATTTGCCTCTTGGGAAAAGAACCATAAAACAATGCCTGATCATTTCTGTACAAAGAGGGACCGTTTTTTTTTTTGTGTGTTTCTGGCACTTCTCTGGAAAATCCCCTAAGCTATTAACCTTGTCTTCAAGTAATCGTAGAATACATAGCATTTTATTTAAAGATTATAACACCAAAACCTCCACAAACATTGTTTCCTTTGATTAGGGTTAAACAATTCTCAATTTTATAAAGCACAATCTACTTAAAACATTGGTGCATCTGTGTACTTTTAAACGATTTTAGCTAACTTGATGCACTGTATAAGGAAGACAAGCAACTAATCAATAAAATGTCTCATTTTTTTGTGAAAAATAAGTAACAGCCAATGAATGAACTTCCAAATAAGATAGCATCATGTTTCTGGTATTGGCTTCCAAGACCGTTGAGCATTCCCTTGTTTGGCCTTGGAAGAATTCTCTATGGGACTTCAGCCTGGCCCAGGGCTCTGCTGAAAGACTACAGAACAAAGCAGGCCAGCTGAGGAGCCAAAATGAAAACTAGAGGTCCCTCTAGAGGCCTAGTGTGTGTTCTTTAAGGAAGAATTTAACCCTGGGTCAAGCGACTTCCTTGGAAGCCCTTGAACTTGCTAATGGCAAGCCGACCTCCTGGGCCTCAGCAGCAAACTCAGAGGCAAACTGTTTAGGTGTAACTTAGAGCTGTGCTATACCTTTGTTTCTTCTCCCAGAGGTCAATGTGGTACCTTAACCACTGCATGGCTTTCCAGTCTACAATGTGACACTAACATTTGTAACTCAGTGGGGAAAGGGAGTGGCATGTTTTCCAAACTGAAATCCAGGCTTTGCAAAGATCCAAAGGTATTTCTAGCACTATTTAGTAAAATCTCCAACAATGATACAGTGCTGGGGGATTTTAAGGAAAGGGACTGGATTTGTGTGGATTTGTGGACTGTGAAGAGCTAGTCTGGGGATCAGAATGGGGGTTCAAATACAGCACAACTGCCCTTTTACTCCTCCCTTTCAAAGTTGAATATGAACTTTTGCAGAGGAAGGCTCAGATGACTGTAAACCCTCCTGCATTTTCTAGGTGAGAGAGAATTTCTTAGCGATTGAACCCTGACAAAACTAGTCATAACTGTAACTGCAAGGTACCGTGAATAATGCTATGGTGAAATAAATAAACAATGAGAAAAGCGAGGAGGCCACAGTTCTGATGGCATCTTGGCCTTTCTGTTGGTTGGTAGAGCCTGGTGATCTTCCCAGTTGGTGAAAGAGGGACCTGGGTTGCTGGTTGGCCTTTAAGCAGCCCCTCCACTCTTGAATTCTTTATGAATAGAGATACAGTATTCTGTCTCTGGTAGATTACCACTCCTCTACTAGTCACTACACTGTATAGAAACATTTCAGACCACGTTCGCAGTGTGGATTTTTTTCTTAAATTTTTTTTTGACATTACGTTGAACTATAAGTTCCTGAAATTCTATGTAGATAGTTTATTGTGCTTTGTAAAAATTCTATAAAGCTTTCAGCTGGATATAGTGGTGCACATCTTTAATCCCAGTACTCTGGAGGCAGAGGCAGGTGAGTCTCTGCGAGTTCAAGTCCAGCATGGTCTACACAGCAAGTTCCAGGCCAGCTAAGGCTACAGGGAGACCCTGTCTCAAAATGACCAAGAAAAAAAAAAAAAAAAAAGCTTCAAATGTATCTGATACTAAAAATATAGTGTATTTCCAATCTCTTATGTGTGTGGTGTTGGTTTAAAATGGAAAACAAGGTCTGGAGAGATGGCTCAGTGGTTAAGAACACTGGTTGTGACCTGGGTTTGAATCTCAGCACCCACATGGCAGCTAACTGTTCATAACTCCAGTTCTAAGGGATCCAACGGCCTCTTCTGTCCTCATGGGCATTGCATGACACGGGTGCACTTACCTACATGCAGGCAGTACATGCATACACATAAATAAAAATATTAAATAAGATATTTAAACAAATAAATAAAATGGAAAACGTAGTTCATTAGGAAGAAATTTCCAGATTGCAATAAACCACTTGTGTCATCGATTAACAGTGCTTTCACTGCCCCCTGCTGCTGGAAACGACACTGAGTTTGAAAGGTCAATTCTCTTACACTGATTAGGAAAGGCCAACTCTTCATTTTTGTTTATTATTATTAATGGAGTATTACAAAGGTAACATTGTCTGGTTTGGAAAGTCCTAGCGATTAAGCAGCCAATAGCCCAAACCAAGTAAGCGCTATGCACTGTGAATCCAGTTTTTCTAAATTTTCTGAGATTTTTTTATTGTGTGGAGTGTTCTTTGTATGAGATCCTCAGTATGTATGTGAACATGGCTATTTACTTGACATAATTATTAAAAATGAAAAAGTAGAAATGTCAACAAAAATTACCTTTATATGAGATCCCTGCATCTTTAAAAATTAAATTGAGATAAAATTTCTTGTGGGAATGTTCTATCATTTGCCCCGTGAAGGAAAGGAGTTAAGTATCTGAATAGCTTTGGTCACATTTGTCTACTACTGATTGGTAGCATTACGTGTCATTTCTGCTTATTCTCCAGAACTTATATTGAATAATGAGAGCAAAATGGAATAACTTTCCAGGCCAGGGATGCACTTGTAGTTTGTATGCACCCATCTGGCAAAGGCTTTACCTGAAAGCCGTTTTGATCCTGAATTGTCAAGTACTGAGAGATGTCATTCTTTTTTAAAAAAATATTTTATTATCTTTCTTTTGTGTGTATGAGTAACTGCACCCATGTCATGCAGTGCCCACAAAGGTCGGAAGAGGGCGTCAGATTCCCTCAAACTGGAGTTACGAACAGTTGTTAGCCACCATGTGGGTGTTGGGAATTGAACCCAGGTCCTCTGCAAGAGCAGCCAGTGCTCTTAACTGCTGAGCCTTCTCCCTAACCCCCAGAGTTCATTCTTTTAACAAATAGACATCACATGCTTTTCATGTACCAGGTATAGAAATATTGGTGAATAAATCACATTTCTTCTCAAATGTGCTCTCAATTTAGTACCAGTAAGAACAAATCATAGCAAAGTATTGTGTGTGTGTGTGTGTGTGTGTGTGTGTGTGTGTGTGTGTGTGTGTGTGTGTGTTGCTGAGGATCAAACTCCAGGTCTTGTGTATGCTAGGTAAGTGCTGTGACACTGAGCTGCATCCCTGGCCCAGATAAAGAAATGTTTTATTAAGACATTTCCAGAGGTTGTGCTGCTATGTGCACCAAGCAAGAGCCTGGGAAGTTTGATCACTTCCCATCAGGAGCGATGACACAATTGTTAATGGCTAATTCTGTGTCTTCAGGACTCACTTGAGAATGCAGGAATGAGTCTGGATTCCCTTTTTTCTATGTCTTTAATAACCTGATACTAGCCCCACATAGATGCATGCATCTAGCCTAGGCAACCCACCCACACTACAAAATAGAAAGAGATGCTCCAAAAAGCATTGATTTATTACTCTAAATCTAGAAGGAATATATTGAT